ATGGTTAAATCAAACCCAATCAATTAGCAAGCGAGCCATGGTGACGAGAACTATTTATCTTTTTATAGATGCATAGCAGCATATTAGTACTGTGATCTTCTTCTTCGTGAGTACCATATGTTCAAGGAAATCACATCCTTTCAGTAGAGGGTTAGCGACGTTTGCGTCGCGTTACTTGTTCGGATTACGTGATATAAGCACATTTACGCTTATTATTGAAGAGTATAATATGACAACATTAAATGCTGTTAAAAAATATACTCAACAAGATGGCGAACAATATGCTTTGTGATCATTCCAAAATGATTTCATCGCTTAAAGCAGGGGGAAGAGGAGCAGCGATATCAAAGACCGAGTGAATCGATCAACACTAACTAAATGATTGATTGATTAAGTACGAAGTGCATGTTCATGAATGAGTACTATAGCCGAAGTTGTGTGTTTCCAGTTCGAATGTAATTCTCCAGTTTCTACATGCAAACTATGCATTGAGAAGATACCTCTGATTAAGAGATGAATGGGATAGGAACTCCCACATCGATGGCATTTTATCAGTTTGAAATCGTCAGGAGTTTGGTGTGTGCGTAATAAATAGTGCTAAAGTCATATTGCTTTTAACAGTGCGCCAAACCTTTAAAGATAAAGTATGAGTACAACATATTAGATACGACTGACATGAGGAATAATATAATGTGTTATTTGTGAATGAACTCTTTTCCATATGGTGGATGTTCAATATTTGACTACGAAGAAAACTGGATTGTCGAAGTTCGAATACGATTTGAAAATCCCAGCGTCAATGCATATTTTATCAAAATGGATTTAAATCTTGTTGGCAAAAAAGATGATATTGTTACTGAATTTCATCTCTTGCCCAATGTTCATAATCTTTGTTCGATGACTTATGATATAAAGACGAAACTAGTATTTGCTACATGGCAACATGGATCGATTGATCGCGATCTCGTCATGCTCTATATGGATCCCTACACAAGTAGATTGAGCAATGAAACACTGCTCTTAAAAACACCAAATGAATGGGTAGTTGAATCTATTCAAGCTATTTTTGATGAACAAACTCGTCAAATATTATTTGTTATCGAACATCAACAAGAGAGTACGTTTGATGAAAAATATTGGTTAATGTTTGTTGAATTTGATACGATGAAAGTGAATATGAAAAAACAAATTACTAAACCTGATTTTGACATATGGGAATTGTTTATTATTCCATAGACGTACTATTTTCAAAATAGGTTCCATAGTGTCTTATTCGAATATAATTACATTTACTTGAAAAATTGATCAACAAGACTTTGCGCAGTAATCTATAATTTCAATTGAATCGATATTGTAGATCCTGCTTAAAAAACCTTTATTATAATTTCCAGTCAAGATTTTCAACGGGTACTTGTGATCTTGACTCGGAAATTCAAACATATAGATGAGTAAAACAGAATTATATTAGTATGAGTCTACAAGTGTAATGCTAATTCTGCAATTGAATCGTCAGATAACAAGCATTCAGAATATAAGACACGGAGATGTATCGAGATGTTAACCGTTGATGCTACACACCATGAACAGTACGTTTAGTAGTTGCAAATGTCACATGAATATCAGTCAACACTGCTCCGTGCGAGGAAATAGAAGTCCAATAAATTGTTGCTCACAGGAAGGTGTGGATGTGAGGTGAAGAGCAGAATAACAACCATACTGATGTCCACACTCAGGGTTCGTGTTTTTTGCATAGTTTTTCCTTCGAAATCAGTAATCATTTTTAGTTTAATTTCTGCAAAAAAAAATGAATAGTTTTCTAGAGTACTATTACATATTTATCGTTTATATCACATTAATTGGAGAATTATTTCTTTATTTATTATATGAATTCCGTTGATGAAAGATACTGGTTAACTATAAATCATATTCCCTCTATAAAATTGTAAACTAAATATATAAATCATTTGAATTATTTAGTATAGATGCCCATCTTTCTTTTTCATAGCAAGTTTTTAAGACACCCTGTCTGTATACAGACTGAATATACTATCAATGATAATATATGTCGATTTACAATAGCAGATTTACTAGATGAAAGTTATTATTTGATAGAAATATCTTCTGAAAATTTTCACGGTCAATCATAACAACTATTAATATTCGAACAATCGATTAAATTAACACGCAAAAATTCATATAATGAAATCACGAATTAGAAAGATTTCTTATCAATAACATCACAATGAGAAATACTACATAATCATTGCGGTAGTTCATTAGCATTAAATTAAAAATAGATTTAAATGACATTTATTCTTTTTTTACGGTGTAGGTATGGATGAAGACAAGATTGACACCCACACCCAAACCCTCAAAAAATCACAAAAAGTTTGTTTAGTATTTTTCCCCTCGAATACGTGTCGTCTTATTTTTGGTATTCTATTTGTGGTAAAAATTTTATGCACATCGATTATACCCACTTTGTGAACTAGAAATAGCCAAAAAAGAGAAGCAGATACCGTTAAACTATATAATATTACCTTACACGTAAGCTGTCGCTAATTTACAGCAACATACAAATTTCAGAGTTTTGTAGAGTCGCAAGCAAAAAAGTCTGACTCCAAAGGCCTCTATAACAGATGCTATAGACTAAAAAAACAGAGACACCAAAGAGATAACTACTATTCTTTGTTAGCGTTTATCTTTTATGCAAATCAATCAATTAAAGCTTCATAGAATTGTATCGCTATATAATAAAGAAAGTACTAATTAAGGAACGAATATGTTCAAAAGAATTCAATTCTTTTTTTTATTTTAACAGCAGCGAAAATATTTTGTAATTGACAATATCAGCTAAGCAAGACTATCGAAAATGACAGAATTTACTTTTGCAAGTTATTTTCGATCTATCTTGTTTAGATCGAAGATAAAAAGAAAAGAATGTATAATGATGTCATCGTATGGTACAAAACAATAGTTCGCTAGTTATAAACAGCCTATATGTATACTATACGAATAATGAAAAACATTCAATGGTCGTGTTGTATTTATCACTATGTAACAGTGCCAACGTAATTGCACAGTATCAGATGGTTCCATCATAAAGATAGTCTATATAGAATTTACTTTTGCAGTTTTTCTGCAAAAGTGAATTCTGTCATTTTCGATAGTCTTTCTTAGCTGATATTGTCAGTTACAAAACATTTTCGTTGCTATTAAAATAATAATAAAAAAAGTTTTATATTTCAATATTAAGTCGTTCGTTTACTTATATATATTATATTTCAAAAGATAAAGTATGATCTTTATTTATGCGTAAAATATTTATGATGAAGCATGTGACTTTTATTAAAACATTTTCACTTATTTAATTGTTCTTCTATGAAAAAGAAAATACAAATTATATTTTATGTCATAAAGATTCATTGTATCACAAAAAAAGGAAAGTTTACGTATTGATATATATGAAATATGTTGACTATTGTTTAAGATAGTCTCTAACTCTCATTAAAGTTATTCCTAATTGATTTCTTCCTGAACCATCTCCTCCATCTCCCCAATAAGAATCATTTATTGTATGTTCAACTAAAGTACGATCTCCAGTTGATAATAATAATTGTTTAAGTTTTGGATGTTGTTGAAATTTTGCCAAACATGCTTTAAACATTATATCATCTTTTACATTTGCCCAATCTGGTCGTACTGCAGATTGATAAGTTCGTACATAGTTAAACGCTTCTCGAGGAGTAGCTAATTGTAAGATATTTTTAAAATGTTTTTCATTTGAAATATATTTTTGTGCCTGAAAATAATGTTCAGTAGTTGGCCAAACGTATCCATCTAATTCAATTGGAGCAGAATAAAAATTACCAAATTCACCAAATGGTTTATCAACATCGTAAAAATACACAGGAGTATTTGCCATTTTTTTATTGAAATTGTCTATTTAATAATATATATATTTTTTTTAATGACCTTTAATCAAGATTTGAGACCGAAAATGAATGGAAGGTACAACTACAGAAAAACAACACCCCCTTTGTTAACATATACAGAACAAGGAAAAAAATCTATTGGCGTATACGTATCACCACTATCACAGAAAGATGAAATATCAAAATATAGATGTCAGACAAGAATAAGAGAATTTTTTTAAGAAAAGAAATTAAACAACAGGATACAATGAATTGATTTGTAATACTAAATTTTTAAAAGGTTTATCTCCAAATAGCTGTTTCCACATAAACTCTTCTAAATAAGTTAATAGTAAAGTTCGCCGTATTCCACTTTAATTAAAGTAAACATGGATTTTTTATAGAACAATTCTAATAATAGGAAGAGCAACATAAATGAATATCTGAATCAAAAATTGATTCAGTAAATTTTATTTATTTTTATTTTTATTTTCATTTTCAATAGCTGTAAGAGATAATACAAGACCAGCTATATGAAATAAAAAATATAATACATTGTTGAATTTTCGGCCAATTTTTAATGCCATCTTCAGAACATTTTGGTTGATCATATAAAAAATGAAAAATAAAATATAATTTTATACTCAATTTCATGATGATTGTTGTGCACTATTTGTACGACATGAATGAGATAGTCGATGACAAGAACCATTAAATGGAAAAAATACCTATTCCGAGACGTATACCACCTAACATAACATCACCACCTAACATAACATCACCACTTAATATAAAATCACAACCTAATATGAAATCACCACCTAATGTAAAATCACCAGTTGCGATAAAATCACCATTTGATATAACAATATATTATATTTTTTATTTCATATAGCTGGTCTTGTATTATCTCTTACAGCTATTGAAAATGAAAATAAAAATAAAAATAAATAAAATTTACTGAATCAATTTTTGATTCAGATATTCATTTATGTTGCTCTTCCTATTATTAGAATTGTATTCCACTTTGTTTTTTTTGTTTTCTTTTAATTTGCATCCAGGTGTTTTCTATATTTTGTGTATGGACACCAGTTGTTGGATCAATGGAAGCGATAGAATGATTGACAGTTAAATGAGTATAATGTACATCATTTCTAAGGATACGTATGCTCTCCATTCGTTTGAATGTATTGTTGTACCTATCCTGTGTCATAGTTAGCTGATGAATTTTTCTGGTGTTCAATTTATCAAGATCTTCAATGTTAATATCTATTTCTACGTGACTTATTTTTGTAACTATATAGTGGTGATTTTTTTTATGGAAATATAATAAAAAAAACTGTTATATATGATTCGCCCCTGTTCAACAGAAATTACTAGACGTCTTCTTAAAAAACTCATCTTTTTTATTTTAATTGAGAGATCTTTTTTTGTTATATCAAATAGTTCAACCATTCTATTAATTAATAGATCCAATCAGCTTTGATGTATACTATCTCTTATTAATGTCCACATCAATATGAGCTGCGGTTGTCTGGCATCTATATTTTGATATTTCATCTTTGGTTGTGTGAAGTGAGCACAAATTGGCGTGAGCATAAATCGCGTCCATGCATCCGTATTATACCCAACTATATTCATCGCACCCATAAATGCAATAGTTGTCGCTAATGATAAAAAATTTCAACCAATTCTCAAACGAGATATTTCCTCCCCCCCCCCCCCCCTCTATATTCCGACCATATATCATAAAAATATAGACTTACGTAGATAAAGATTCATTATTCTTCATGTGAAAATTTTTCATTAGAATAACGTTTACGACATCAATAAAACACAATATCTGTGAAGTAAACTATATTTTTATTTAGTAGCTACACCCAGGTCAAACAAGCACGGTCGTTTACGACCGTATACGGAGAAATACGACGAATTACATGTGATCGTATATCTCCGTGTCGTATACTGAGAAATACGGCGATATACGAACAAAAAAACCGTCGTTTACTGTCTCCGTAAAAGGAGACCGTATACGATATCCGTTTTGATCCGTTTTTCTCCGTATACGGTCGCATCGCTTCGTATACGGTTAAAGAGATATACGATCGTAATACGATCACATGTATTACGGCAAAACACGGTCGTAAACGACCGTATTTTTTCCGTATACGGTCGTATACCACCGTTTACGGAGTCCGTAACGTTCGACCTGGGTGCATATACAAGTTACAAAAAATAACTTATAATGATGGAAAGAGATATAAGAAAAATACAATGGGTAAATAGACAAAAACAAATGACAAAATTCTCTTATCAATAAATACTACAGCGTGTCTGAAAAATAGTTCCTTATTTTAAATTCTTTTACAGTTTTTAATAAGAACAGATAATGGATTAGTTTTTTTACTATTTTGAAGCATGTTTGATGAAGTTTTGTTTTAGACACGAAAGATTGTTGACCGGTTGACTGTCTAAGATCAAACACGAATCTCATGTAGAGAATGCTTGGAAAATAACTTCTTATTTTTCATCGTTAATTACTTTTATACAAAGCATATATTGTAATAATTTTTCCATTGTTTTGAAATGTGATACCGTCACGGCTATTTCTGAGACTTTATCGCGTAACGCTATTATACACACGTCAAAACAGTGAAAAAATTATTACAATATATGCTTTGTATAAAAGTAATAAACGATGAAAAATAAGAGGTTATTTTTCCAGCATTCTCTACATGAGATTTGTGTACAATGTTATACAGTCAATCCATTAACATTCTTTTTTATTTAAAATAATATCTCATCAACCATGCTTTAAAATAGTAAAAATAAATTAATACATTACACAGGTGGCCAAAAGTATGTCCCCCCTTGGATCTTAGCTTCTATAAGAGCTAAACGTCTGAAAATCGGTCCATAGGTAGTCCACATAGAATACAGATCGGCAGTACCATCAGTGCCAAAATTGCTCAATGCTAGAATGAAGTTATAATAGGTGCCATCCACCTCTCTTGTAAATTTCGTAACTC